CCAGGTCAAATTTCATTATGAACGTTGCATGGTCATTGGCGACTACTGTATTTAAATTCATTGTTCTTATTTAAAGCTATTTTTACCTTTCCAGATCCTAGGGATTATCGAGGAAATTTTATTTTTCTTAATAAATACTAAATACTTCTTATAGTTCTTTTAAGTACTTAATATGCGTAATGCTTCTCATTATAACTTCAAATTTTTTGTAAATGCGTTCTCGCGAGAAATAAGCAAACATTTACAAACTTAGACAAATTGCTTGCAGGACTCGCCATACTGTATGTGAGCTGATCAGCAAATTGTTTTTGATTGAACTGTCCTTCTGCTACCCGACTAGAAAAGATTTCGATTAAAATATCTGTGGTAACTCCATCTAGCCGCGTGTTTACTACATCCAGGCATGAAATACAGTATGACGAGTAATTTTTGCAAAAAACCTAAATTTGCGCAAGATTGAGAAATAAAAGATACAAGGTAATGTCTAAAATGCCAGTACGGATGCATGTAAAACACGTGCAAAGAATAACAAACAAACGTATGCAACTGTTTACTTAATAAATATAAATCCAACTTTATATTCATACAAGAGTTCCACAATATTTGTGCATTCAATCTTTGTCCCATAAACTTAGGTGCTTATGGTTGTTAATATCATAAACTTTAAAAGGGTTTCCCGTATAAATGAGTTTTTTAAGTATTAGTTCATATGAAGATGGCATACAGCCCACATTGTCGTGATAATAAAGTCCGCAAAAGATATCTGTTATTGTTATTCCTAAGAATAATTTTGAAAAATGCAATAGTAGGTTACCTCTTTGAAAATCGAATGCAAAAAAGAGTCGCCGAATATAGACTAAGCCTTTGCGAATACTTGTTATTTTCTTTCTGTTCCAGTGCTAAACTATGCATAAGGGAACTGATATTGTACAGGAAGTATGTTTTTGCATGTTTTATTTTTAATAAGATGTCTGTTATTGTTATTCCTAAGAATAATTTTGAAAAATGCAATAGTAGGTTACCTCTTTGAAAATCGAATGCAAAAAAGAGTCGCCGAATATAGACTAAGCCTTTGCGAATACTTGTTATTTTCTTTCTGTTCCAGTGCTTAACTATGCATAAGGGAACTGATATTGTACAGGAAGTATGTTTTGCATGTTTTATTTTTAATAAGATTGGCTTTTACCTTCACACTCACGATATGCAGTTTTTACTACCGTCTAAACCAATCGATTGGGTAAAACCACATTCAGTCAAAATGTTGTCACTGCATCTTGTCGCAAAACTTTCACTCATGGTTCCACCTAGTCTTACTGTTTTAAAGGTTTACATAGCCGAAGTTCCTTGCTACCCACACATAATTCCTTAGTGACCTGCTGTAACTTTTGGAGATGAAGAAATAGAAAATCGTCAGCCATTTTGATGGCTTATTTCGGCATACCTCTTCACGTCCTTCCTCTTTCCTCCCATACGCAAACTCCTTAGCGACCAGCTAAAATGTGTTGGAATCAGTAACTACAAAACCTTGCAGTTTCCGTAGGCCTCTCTGCTTGCTTATTTCTACATATGTCACTGCAACCCTCATAAGGAAATCTGTTTTGATTTGTTATCACGTTTCGATTATATTAGCCATCAATTATTTAGACACTGTACTGCAGCCCTACATGGAAATCTTTGGTTTTGATAAGCAGTGCTCTTGTTATACCTACTGCTGCATATTTCCTCAACAGCGGCGTTTAACAATCATTGCGTGCGTCCTAGGCAATTAACTTTTTGTATTATGGCATCCGAATCAATAAAGTTGGAATTTTTATCGGACTTAGTCATGCAATCGCCTTTACTCTCTTTCATTCTCCTCTTGACTCTAGTTATTGGCCCACAACCCTGTTTTTGATCTATTAACTAATTTATACGTAGCTATTTACTTCATAACAGTGCACACTTATCATTTATTCTTTCACCATAAATGCTACTGTTTAGCGAACTTTAATGAACTCGTATTTTCCGTCTTCAATTACACTTCAACAGTAGCATATTCCAATTTTTTTCTTGCCGCATAAAGATTTTACTGACTTTCTGCTGACCATTCTGGCTCCTTCCAGTCCTCAAGTTTTAACAGCTTGATGCTATTGCTGGCGAGGATATCAGCTTATTTGCTTGTTTATTTGTAAATTATAACACGCTGCTATCAACTGTTTATTACTTTAAAGTAATATGTTTATTCACGTATCTCTAGTTTACAGCCCTTAGGTTATGATCCACACGTGCCGTAAAATAGAATTTTGGGGCTAGAAATATATCACGTGCACTACAAAGCCTGCTGTTGCTATCCTCGATATAACATTGCGGCATGCATTCTTATCAGCATGTCACGCATAAGTACCCATTAGTTAAACTTACAACACTAAATAGATAGCCGCTGAGACAGAATGCTTTCCTTGCTCAACACACGCTGACAATTGAGGTATAATCCCTCGCCCGTCATGCAGGACTACCACATCAAAAAAAACGCAAAATGTAATGGGCAAAAAAGCTTCCTCATTTCTTGACATTGACGTTTAAACTCACATGGGATAACATGTCAAACGTAAGATAGTAACTTCATGTTGAACCTGCAAACTGGGAACCCGGAATTTAGGAAAGCTATAGCGTCGCGATAAGCTTTGCCAGGACAAGCACTAAAAAGATGCGACTGAATTCACACTGAGGCGCGGCAAGTGCTTCACATGTCGGATCGACAGTAAGTGTATACCGACGTCCACTTTTATCAAGATTTTCCGCGAAGACGAAGGTGAGTGGCTTATCACCAAGTTCTCCATTTAACAAGATTGCTGTCTGCACTAGAACGGATAGAAGCAGAGGGCAGTGTTAGTATGACAACCTCGCGACTTATAGTATTGCATTTGCTCTAAGTGCAAGTGTTCTAGTCTATGCAGGAAAATGTCAAACTGCAGTCATACATACAGTAGACGCCACGGATCACGGAACATTTCGACGTAGGCGAAATATCAATACTATTTCGCTAAACCCTATTGACTTAGGTTATCATACTGATTATCGTGTAGTCTATACCGAAGTTTATTTCATCATGAAAGCATGCGAGCTTTTTGATGAGCTGCGTTCTAACTACCGGCAAAAGGTATCTATTGTAAAAACTAGATATTTATGTAGTATGCCTTTTCATCATTGATTTTGACTGTCTATATAAATTCAAATATATTTTATGGAAAAAATGGACGAAAAAATTAG